TATTTCATTTAGTATGTGTGACTTCATGTTTACACTGACAGTCATACAACAACCAAATGTAACACAGAATAACATAGTTCATCAACAGGAGAGGTTACAAGAGCATATGTATGCTCAACTTGCTCTACAGAAACATCTTTTGTGGTTTTGTTACAACAAATAGATCAAAATAATATAGTCATTTGATGGAAACAGTCTCTAAAGAACTACCTCAGTGAATCAGTCACAGCTAGCAGTGTCCCCACGTCATAATACATTTACATCAAATACTGGACGTCAAAATGCCCAACATGATAAACGTGACGTGAGGGAATTCCGAAGTTGTTTATGAACCTGTGGTGATTACAAGTGTAAGTCATCATTGATTAATTGGCAGTTTATTGAATTAAGATGTGTCAAATAAATACTAAGGTAAATGTTTAGATTGCTGTAGATTGTCACTTGTCAGTCTAGACACACAATGAGTCCATAGTTTGGCTATGCATTTCTTTGTTTTGTTCACTATCATGACTTCTCCACATGTTCAAGATTAAAGGGTTTAGGTATTCAAGAAACAACATATTCCCAAGGAATGTGGAAGTAGTCCGTCAGGGTATATGTCATTTCAAGATCATGGTCTCATGAAAAATGCATGAATGACAAAATGTGTTGTTCATACCATTATGAATGTTAGTTTCATGGTCATGTGACCGACCTCTCGTCCAACCCTGTATTTACCGTACAGTAAATAAACTGTGTACATTCAGTGTGCTCATTTTTGAAAGAGTGAGTGAGTGAGTATGGTTTTACGTCGCTTTTAGCAATATTCCAGCAATACCATGGCAGGGGACACCGTAAATGGGCTTCACACATTGTACCCATGTCGGCAATCGAACCCGGGTTTTCGGCGTGACGAGCGAACGCTTTAACCACTAGGCTACCCGACCGCCCCCATTTTTGAAAGAAGTGTAGGCACTATATGTTTTACAGCAGACCCTCACAAACTATACTAGAAGTGTAGATCGAGGAGTTGTTATGTAGTAAATTAATGCTCATTTAATCGAATGTCACTGAGCGCTACCTGGCACAAGGCATGCTGGAACTATATAAAAGACTGTACATGTGGCAAGACGGAGAAAAAATATACAGTAAAGAGGACCATGGATGTGTCTGAGAGACTTGCCTCAGCTTCATAAGAAAAGCAGCTTTCTTTTACACCTGAGACGGCAGTGCCATTTTCCTTCAACTTTTGGAGGACCTGTTGGGAAACCAACAGGAGCGTTTTCAATCAATGTTTAACAAGAAGCTCAACTCAGCCACCATCTAGAAATCTCCTGGCCATGAGGTTTGTAGGGAGTGAAGATTTCACTGGTTTGGAGGACGGTGAACAAAGACATATATCACAAACTTTTGTTTCTCTGGGGATGGGAGGAGTGCCGCATGGTTGTCGGAATAAGCCAGCTACCATCTGACCCCAGGAAGAAAGCCATACATACATTTGGTAGCAAGGAGCTCTCTTCACAAGACGAGCATGATTCAGAGACTCGGACGCTAGCCATCGCAGAGGAAGGCTTGGCACTAGCACTGGATGGTCACCTGACGGAGACGCTAGCCATCAGAGGAAAACTTGGCACAAGCACTGGATGGTCACCTGACTGAGACGCTAGCCATCAGAGGAAAACTTAATTGGCACAAGCACTGGATGGTCACCTGACTGAGACGCTAGCCATCAGAGGAAAACTTAATTGGCACAAGCACTGGATGGTCACCTGACTGAGACGCCAACCATCACAGAGGAAAGCTTGGCACTAGCACTGCACAATCTCATTAAAATCAGATCTTAGTTCTCGCTACCGCTAAACAAAGAACTGAGGACATCCCATTACGGGTCACGTCAGCACGACCTTTTATCCAACCAATCAGAGCTTCACTTACCAGATCCAGAAAGTGACAGTCCGAATGTTTCTAATCATGCAACCTCGAAATATTTAACAGAGGATATTCCGAAAGACAGTTACAGGTTTTATGATTATACCCATACAATCTAGGCCATCTATAAGTCATTCCAGAATGTTGTTTTGGTCAGTTTTGACGAGAATACGTCAATATGTTTTGAAGCGTAGTCGCCAGTTTGAAACTAGTGCTGTAAAGCTCGAGATAGCTGCCTTCTGATTGGCAAATGTTGATTTCTTGTCAGGCATTTCATTGGTCGGTCAATGTTCATGAAAGGTCCTTGTGACATGACCCGTAGCGAAATCTAAGATTTGATTTTAATGAGATTGTAGCACTGCATGGTCACCCGACAATCCAGGAAGGATTCCTCCCGGACTGAAAAGCATCTTTACTGGTGCTAATGTGGCAAGCACAGAAGATATGATGTTGACAATGCCTCAGCTTGAGTCTTTAGACAAACAGGCCATACAGATACTGTATGGGGACAGCAGGGTGACTGCACAGTGACTTGCCGTGGACTGTTAGAACATGTCCAACTGCACATGCCTTATATGCCAGCCTGCCTCATAGATATTGCCTCACATTTGGACAGCCAGAGACACCCGACTCTTTTTAGCCAAGAAGCTTATCAAGATTTAGACTCTGATCAAAGTGAAGGCACACACTATGGCAGCATGTACCCCGGAACAGACCTTGGGAAGAAAAAGGAAGAACTCTTTAACCTCATTAATTCCACAAGTAAGGAAGAAGAGCAACCCAAGGTGACTGAATGTGCAGGCTGCTATGGTATTCACCTTCATCTGAGACTTCTAAATGTTTCACACATCCTCGGCAAAGTTATGGTTATAAAGTCATCAGTCAAGATAATGTTAACATTAAGAACTTAAGATCCGAGGACAGGTGACCACTTCCACAGTTGACAGGCTTCCTTTCAACAATTATCTCAGAAGACTGCCTTCTTTTTAGCTAGAGTCTCAGAGATAGCATGATCCCAGCACTCAGTAGAGATGTAGAAACACCAGATAGTTATCTTTGTTAACAGCCCCACAGAAGGAGCAGGAACAAATGTTGACAACATCAGACGAGGACATAAAGCCATAATAGACGGATGGCTTAAGACTACTATTTCAGAGAGTAATAAACAAGCAAACTCTTCTTTTGGGATCCTTCTCAGAACATAAAAAATAGGGCATAATCTATCAACATGCTAGTTCTATGTCTGTGGAACAGGTGGTCTCCAGCTGCCAGTGGAAGCAGGGTTAGAAACTAACAGTTTTTGTCCACTAGTCCTTATAATGATAACATATAGCAAAACCCTTAAAAAGGGCAAATTTCTACTAGTCCTTATGATACCTTTACCATTGGGCATTTTGGCAAGGACTAAAGGACTAGTGCCAATTTCTAATGCTGGGAAGTCCCAAGCACTTCACTAGATTTTGTCTTTGTGATATACGGGGGCAACAATGGCTGGCTGCAGCGAGCTTGGAAGGTAGGTTTAGATTTGTCTTTGGAGTTTGGGCAGATCATAGGTAACTGTTAGAATCATGCTTAAAGGTGACGTATATGTTATCGGCAGTGTGGCCATAAACAGAAGTGACGCCATCAGCTACTGATTGATTTTTGTATGTAAATTATCACATTTGAAGTTGTAGCAGCACCTTGAAGTATTCTGTCTAGACCTGTCTGACATAATAGTGGCTCACCTGACTGAAAATCAAGTGAGCCTATACTTTGGCATGTTTGTCTGGCATGTCTGAAACTTCTCATACTTGTTCCCATCAATGATGGCTACCCCGTTTTAGTTCACCGGGCCCAAGGGACCAAGGTGAGCTTATGCCAAACCTTTGCGTCCGTCGTCTATCCGTCCGTCGTCCGTAAGTCAACAATTTATTCAAACGACTTCTTCTTCTGAACCACTAATAGAAAATTAACAAAATTTGATTGGAAGCATCCCTAGGTGATGGGGATTCAAAATTGTACAAATTGTGGGGCTGACCCCCCAAGGGGCTGAGGGGCGTGGCTGGGGCCAAATAGGGGTAAATTGGCTATATTGCTATAAGCGACTTCTTCTCTGGAACTAAGATATAGATATCAACCATATTTGGTTGGAAGCATCCCTAGGTGGACACAGTTAAGATCCCCACCGTATAACCATATGTACAATTGCTGAAAATAATGAGAGGAATGCACATATGCTACCAGGACTGGCCCTTCTGTTCATCTGTCTGGAACTCCCAAAGGAGTTAGACCCTTGACCATACCATGTAAACCGATATTATCCCCACCCTATGATAAACAGACAATGTGTGAATTTGTTTGTTATGAAGGGAATAATACATTTATGCCAATAGGATTTGCCCTGAGGTCCAGCCTTGCCTCTGGAAACTTAGATCCTGGATCATAACATGGAAACAGTTCAGATCTTTATGCTACATTTGTATCTAGAGAAATACATGTTCATGCTGTCAGATTTGCCATCCACCTATTTTAAATGCTGACAAGAGTCAAAATTACTAAATATTTGCAGTATTATATACATGTACAATATAAATGTTTATTTTGTCATGATTGCGTAAATATGCAGGTGAGCGATACAGGCCCTTTAGGCCTCTTGTTATTCAAGAGGTTTGAATCTGATTTTCATGTAGCAGCCATATTGAAAAAACTTTTAATGTCCACATACAAATTTGGTTCATGTGCATATTGTAGTAGGCCTCAAGGAATATCCTTATTTTTTGGCTTTAGTTTACATTTTGACCTTTATTTGACCTTTGTAGTTCGACCATACTAAAAGCTGAAACTTCTTATGGCCAGTACTTAGTCATTAAATTGGATTTGATGCCGTAGGTATTGTATGTAGACATTTTCTCCTAAGAAACAGCTGAACTATTATTGATGAAATTTCACATGCCTGTTCCAACATACAAGGCTTTTTTTCAAGATGTCTGAGTGTTGTCAGAATTCAGGACTTTTATGACAGTGTGATGTTTCTCTTTTACAGTCAAGAAGCAGATGGATAGTCTTGGAAATAATGGTGTGATTGACAGTATGTCGCTGTTCTGTTACAGTCAGGCAGTAGACCATCAACTGGTAGCCGACATACCACAGGAATGGGAATATGTGTTAGCACAATGGCAAACACCGATGAACAACTGGCTGATCAAGATAAGACAGTGTTTGACTGGTGTAAAGAGGGAAATACAGAAAAGGTGTGCCATACCTTTGCCACCTACAATACTGGTGTCAATAATCTGGATCATGAGGTATAACAATGACCTGTGCAAGAGGTTATGCTGCAGTCTGTTTACAGGGCTTAATGCATTTACATAAATGTCATCACATCATGTTTTCTCAAGCACACGCTTACAATATGTGTAAAACTTAACTGATATACCCCCTTATATACCCTGGAAAATCTTGGCATGGATTAACTTGTGTAAACAATATTTTAAGTTTTGACAAAATATTTTGAGGGGCTGTATATATGATGAAGGTCTACAGAGGTCACATTTCTTAAACATAGTAATAGCCTCAGGAACATTCTTTTGTAATTAAGACCGCCTCCGTGGTCTAGTGGTATAGCGTCCCCCTGGGGAGAGGAAGGTCCAGTGTTCGATCACCGGCTGCATCATACCAAAAGACGTTAAAAGACACGTTGCTATATGAGTGCAATAATCTTGGACGCAACGTTAAACCCAATTTCACCTCACCTTTTGCAGTTTATGAAAAAATAGAGTATCTTACAAGAGTGTTTATTGAAATCAAATATATCATCAGCAACACAAGTCTGTAAGTTCCAAACTTTGTGGCTTGCTGAAGAATTTTGGAATGTTATTGATGAGTGTTGATGTATGTGAAATGATAGGACACATGGGTGAGATTCTGTTATTATACAATATAATTCTTTAAGCTTTTTCAGTTTGTAAACAGTAATAGTGTCTTGAATGTAAAAAAGTTCAGCAAACCAGCTTCAGTGGCATAGAGTTAAGTGAGGTCATTGATTGTGACATCCTGGTAAGCGATGATGCCACAATGGTCTGCAATGCATTAGGATCCAATTTCAGTGCAGCAATATAAGTCAGAGGAGATGTGGCTTGATATCACCCAAGCAATGTCACCTGTGGAAGCCAGGTTTGGATGATATTCCTTGGCGTAGAATACTGTTTTTGAGAGAAGCGCATATTGATGCCAAGCCTGTTCTGAAATTTTACATGATGGAAAACATAAAGCCAATCAGATGTTTCTGTTTGTTGTAACATCCTAATGTCATTGCCCATGAGTAACCTCCTTATGTTATTGCCCCAGAGTAACCTACTAATGTTATTGCCCCAGAGTAACCTCCTAATGTTATTTCCCCTGAGTAACCTCCTAATGTTATTGCCCCAGAGTAACCTCCTCATGTTATTGCCCCAGAGTAACCTCCTTATGTTATTGCCCCAGAGTAACCTCCTAATGTTATTGCCCCAGAGTAACCTCCTTATGTTATTGCCCAAGAGTAACCTCCTTATGTTATTGCCCCAGAGTAACCTCCATATGTTATTGCCCCTGAGTAACCTCCTTATGTTATTGCCCCAGAGTAACCTCCTTATGTTATTGCCCCTGAGTAACCTCCTTATGTTATTGCCCCAGAGTAACCTCCTGATGTTATTGCCCCAGAGTAACCTCCTTATGTTATTGCCCAAGAGTAACCTCTTATGTTATTGCCCCTGAGTAACCTAATGTTATTGCCCCAGAGTAACCTCCTTATGTTATTGCCCCAGAGTAGCCTCCTTATGTTATTGCCCCAGAGTAACCTCGTAATGTCATTGCCCCAGAGTAACCTCCTTATGTTATTGCCCCAGAGTAACCTCCTTATGTTATTGCCCAAGAGTAACCTCCCGATGTTATATCCCCAGAGTAACCTCCTGATGTTATTGCCCCAGAGTAACCTCCTAATGTTATTGCCCCAGAGTAACCTCCTAATGTTATTGCCCCAGAGTAACTTCCTTATGTTATTGCCCCAGAGTAACCTCCTTATGTTATTGCCCCAGAGTAACCTCCTTATGTTATTGCCCCTGAGAAACCGCCTTATGTTATTGCCCCAGACTAACCTCCTAATGTTATTGCCCCAGAGTAGCCTCCTAATGTTATTGCCCCAGAGTAACCTCCTTATGTTATTGCCTCAGACTAACCTCCTAATGTCATTGCCCCAGAGTAACCTCCTTATGTTATTGCCTCAGACTAACCTCCTAATGTCATTGCCCCAGAGTAACCTCATTATGTTATTGCCTCAGACTAACCTCCTAATGTCATTGCCCCAGAGTAACCTCCTTATGTTATTGCCCCAGAGTAACCTCCTTATGTTATTGCCCCAGAGCAACATCCTAATGTTATTGCCCCAGAGTAACCTCCTGATGTTATTGCCCCAGAGTAACCTCATTATGTCATTGCCTCAGACTAACCTCCTAATGTCATTGCCCCAGAGTAACCTCCTTATGTTATTGCCCCAGAGTAACCTCCTTATGTTATTGCCCCAGACTAACCTCCTAATGTTATTGCCCCAGAGTAGCCTCCTGATGTTATTGCCCCAGAGTAACCTATTAATGTTATTGCCCCAGAGTAACCTCCTAATGTTATTGCCCCAGAGTAACCTCCTTATGTTATTGCCCCTGAGAAACCTCCTTATGTTATTGCCCCAGAGTAACCTCCTAATGTTATTGCCCCAGAGTAGCCTCCTAATGTTATTGCCCCAGAGTAACCTCCTTATGTTATTGCCTCAGACTAACCTCCTAATGTCATTGCCCCAGAGTAACCTCCTTATGTTATTGCCCCAGAGTAACCTCCTTATGTTATTGCCCAAGAGTAACCTCCTTTTGTTATTGCCCCAGAGTAACCTCCTGATGTTATTGCCCCAGAGTAACCTCCTAATGTTATTGCCCCAGAGTAACCTCCTAATGTTATTGCCCCAGAGTAACTTCCTTATGTTCTTTCCCCAGAGTAACCTCCTTATGTTATTGCCCCAGAGTAACCTCCTAATGTTATTGCCCCAGAGTAACCTCCTTATGTTATTGCCCCTGAGAAACCTCCTTATGTTATTGCCCCAGACTAACCTCCTAATGTTATTGCCCCAGAGTAGCCTCCTAATGTTATTGCCCCAGACTAACCTCCTAATGTCATTGCCCCAGAGTAACCTCCTTATGTTATTGCCTCAGACTAACCTCCTAATGTCATTGCCCCAGAGTAACCTCATTATGTTATTGCCTCAGACTAACCTCCTAATGTCATTGCCCCAGAGTAACCTCCTTATGTTATTGCCCCAGAGTAACCTCCTTATGTTATTGCCCCAGAGTAACCTCCTAATGTTATTGCCCCAGAGTAACCTCCTGATGTTATTGCCCCAGAGTAACCTCATTATGTTATTGCCTCAGACTAACCTCCTAATGTCATTGCCCCAGAGTAACCTCCTTATGTTATTGCCCCAGAGTAACCTCCTTATGTTATTGCCCCAGAGTAACCTCCTAATGTTATTGCCCCAGAGTAGCCTCCTGATGTTTTTGCCCCAGAGTAACCTATTAATGTTATTGCCCCAGAGTAACCTCCTAATGTTATTGCCCCAGAGTAACTTCCTTATGTTATTGCCCCAGAGTAACCTCCTAATGTTATTGCCCCAGAGTAACTTCCTAATGTTATTGCCCCAGAGTAACCTCCTTATGTTATTGCCCCTGAGAAACCTCCTTATGTTATTGCCCCAGAGTAACCTCCTAATGTTATTGCCCCAGAGTAGCCTCCTAATGTTATCGCCCCAGAGTAACCTCCTTATGTTATTGCCTCAGACTAACCTCCTAATGTCATTGCCCCAGAGTAACCTCCTTATGTTATTGCCCCAGAGTAACCTCCTTATGTTATTGCCCCTGAGTAACCTCCAAATATTTATAGTTTGAAATGTTGAATCTGCAATTATCTCTTTCTTATATAATAAAATAATTTTTGAGTTTATATGTTGTCAATACCTGTGATTATGGATGCGATAAAAGCTGAATTTATCCTTGGTTATTGCTCCTTTCGGCTAAAATAACAGGTGTTGACCTCACATGAAGTCTTTTATTGTATACCATTATTCCATATTCCCTTTGGTATATGATGGTTCTATTGCAGGTGATCACATGGTTACAAAAAAATAATTCTTTAGTTTTACATGTTGTTTCTTTCCTTGAGTTATTTCCCCTGACATGGGAAACCCTGTCCTCAGCATATGTGTAATTCCTCCAACTTCATCATTTCTTCTTTTGCACAACAAGCAAGATGTGTCTATAGTTACTTGTAGTTAGGGAAAAAATTCAAATTCATATTCTATTATATCTTTATGTCAGTTCCTCTTTATGTATATTATTCTCGAAGTGAGGAAGTTATTTTGTTTGATTAGGTAACTGTTTACAGCGTCATGCATGGTTACTGAAAGTGCAAAACTTTCATGATTAGGTCCGGACCCCTACTTGTGTAGAAATTGTTCAACAAAGAAGTGTTCATTTTACCGTTTGTTGGGATCTTTGCGTGGATTTTATGGAGACAGAATTCAAAAAATTAATTACGCATTGGAATAAACCTTAAATAGACAAGCGGAAACGATCTATTAGTCCGACCTCTTCTGATTCATTGAATGAATGAATGTTTTCTTCAATGTTTGGGATTTTTAAATCAATTGACAGAGTTGAGCAAACAATCATTATGCAAGCTGGGCTAACTAAACAAAGGGTTGATAAATGTACGCAAAGCTAGCTAAGGCTGGCAAAACAAAGGGACCGGTTACTCTATGCACCTTGCCTGCTAAAGAGTCCAGGACCCTTGATCTGTCTTACTAAAAGTTTAGATTACCAAATCAGTAAAATATCAATTGCTGTGTGGCTTAGGAAGAGAATTATTCAGGCTGATGTTTCATCTGAATCAATATCGACATCTTCAAAATCCAGTCCTCATGAAGTTAGGACTTTAGCAACATCCTTGGCATCTTGGAAAACAGTGTCAGTGGAACAAGTAGGGGTGTCTTGTCAGTGGAAGAATAGTTCCACATTTACAAGATATTACCTAAGTGACATTCAAACTTCTCCAGCAGATACTTACAGTCTTCAGCCAGTGGTAGCCGCTCAATCCATTACCGACTCAAGACATTTTGTCTCCAAGTAGGGGAAAGAAAGGGGTGGGGATCATTATCTGGAAGATGATAGGAAAAGTTTACCTCAAGTCAAGTTGACCTAGAGAGGTAAAATATTATACCTTATTATTGTATTGGTAGGAACTTCTGAATTGGCTAGGTTATAGACTGGATGTAACATCATAAGAACTGGAAGTGAGGTCATATGTACTGGGAATGCCGTCATGATAGACCGGAAGTCACGTCATAATATTGATAGAAACGTCAGGATAGACCGGTAGTGGCATCTTAATACCGTAAGTGGTTATAGACCGGAAGTCACGTCATAATATTGATAGAAACGTCAGGATAGACCGGTAGTGGCATCTTAATACCGTAAGTGGTTATAGACCGGAAGTCACGTCATAATATTGATAGAAACGTCAGGATAGACCGGTAGTGGCATCTTAATACCATAAGTGGTTATAGACCGGAAGTCACGTCATAATATTGATAGAAACGTCAGGATAGACCGGTAGTGGCATCTTCATACCATAAGTGGTTATAGACCGGAAGTCACGTCATAATATTGATAGAAACGTCAGGATAGACCGGTAGTGGCATCTTAATACCGTAAGTGGTTATAGACCGGAAGTCACGTCATAATATTGATAGAAACGTCAGGATAGACCGGTAGTGGCATCTTAATACCGTAAGTGGTTATAGACCGGAAGTCACGTCATAATATTGATAGAAACGTCAGGATAGACCGGTAGTGGCATCTTAATACCGTAAGTGGTTATAGACCGGAAGTCACGTCATAATATTGATAGAAACGTCAGGATAGACCGGTAGTGGCATCTTAATACCGTAAGTGGTTATAGACCGGAAGTCACGTCATAATATTGATAGAAACGTCAGGATAGACCGGTAGTGGCTTCTTAATACCGTAAGTGGTTATAGACCGGAAGTCACGTCATAATATTGATAGAAACGTCAGGATAGACCGGTAGTGGCATCTTAATACCATAAGTGGTTATAGACCGGAAATGATGTCATAATACACTGGAAGCATTATTGTTTTAGACTGGAAGTGACGTAAAAAACAGGAAGTGATGTCATATTTATAAGGAGCTGGTTATTTGGAGTGATTTGATCAACCAGTACCGGTAATATCAGGCCTCAAAGTTTAAATTTTTACCAAGTAGCCAAATGGCTACAAGTATTTTTGTCCAGCTACACAGTGGTAAAATCAAGAAGTCAAGCCAATATTGTAGGTAGCCAAAGGCATTTGATATTATCTTTTTATCAAATAACTATTATATGTACCAGTCATAGCATTAGTCTTGGAATTGTATATTAGTGGAAACTGTACTTGAGTTTTGTTATTTGTGACTCGAACATTGATGCAATTTATGTTTCTAGATTATATAGGTGTATCCTTGCTTATCCAATAAACAATCAACTAAAATAAAATACTAATTACATTAATATTTATGCATTTCGGTTCATTGTTGACTTTTGGAGGAATTATTTGCGAGTACAATTAGTAGCAGACATGTTTATTTTGGTGTCTACATATATGTAGCAATAGAATTAAGTCGCCACAAGATATTTTCAAGGTAGTCATTTGGCTACCTCTGAATTTTAGACAGCAAACAAATTGAAATTTATGTCGCATTGGCGACCGTTTTAGTCACAACTTTGAGGCCTGAATATCCAATCTCAAGTTCTTCATCTATTTAGGCCTCTGTTGGTTAGTTTATGTCTTGGTAAGCCTAAATAGTGGAGAATATCAGTGGTTCGGGGCATGTTTATAATTATCAGAACCCATCTGCCCGTATGTGGGATTCTGGGCTATCATATACTAGAGGGAATGTTTATATAGTAATTATAAACTATTACATACATTGTTAGTAATTATATTAGTAAAGTTACTTCTAGTATCTGAGGTATATCCCTCCCTCCTCCCTAATTTTCTGATGAATTATAGATCTTATGGGGTTAGTTAAATAATGAAGTTGGAGGATTACACATGTGCTGAGGGTAGGGTTTCCGTCGTTAGGGGAGATAACTCAAGGAAAGAAACGACGTACAGCTAAAGCAGGAGAAATAGGGCTATCATATACTAGAGGGAGGTTTACTGACAATGTTATTGTTTCTTGTTATTGATGAAAACAATACCTGTCACATCAATGTAAAGGTCACTGTCAAGGTTATATTGCTTTCTTGTTTAATTAGCAGATTCCAATTTTGGTTAATGCAAACACCTTTCTGTCACCAAATTGCATTATTTTCCGAAATGTGTTGTGTGACTTAAAGAGTGTTTTCTCACAAACTCATTATTCCTCAGCATTAAAATGCAGTTTGAACCAAGTGAGCAATGGAGCCAGGAGTGCTGGGGTTTGTATTTACCAACTGGAAGTAGACCATCACAGGTAACACTCTCATGCTGCATCCTGCATGTTAGTTAGACTTACTTACTGATTATAATAAAAACTTGACATTCTGATTTCAGGGTCTCGCATTGCTTCACTGGGCGAGTGATAGAGGCTATAAAGACATGGTGGAATTACTTCTGGTACACAAAGCTGATGTTAATGTCAAGGTCAGTAAGTCAGAATTGGAATTAGGATAGGATTAGGTTTTGCCTGAGTGATACCAGTCATTATGACAGCAGTAGGATAAATCAGCGTAGAACAAGGGGATCTACATACATGTATAGCCTTCGGTCAGGCATTTGTAAATTGAAAAGTCTTTCTCCCAACATACACTGCATTTTCTCACCTGACCTTGACATTGTCATGGCCCTTTCCTAAGATGCATCTTCTTCCACTAATTTGCACATCATGTCTGTATTATATTCACCTAGCATGTTGTTGATGTCCCTGCTAACACCACTGGGACCACATCATATGTCTAAAATTAAAAGACTGAAGACAAGGTTTCATAGAAAATCTAAGTCAAAATATGACAAAATCTCAAAATCTCAAAACCTCAAAACCTAAAACGGAATGAACAGATTCAAGAACAGTTTTTATGGAAAAATAGCTGATTTGAGATCGCATTAACACGTTTGATCTGTACAAGGATGAACAATGATTTCAGCGAAAGATTTCATAGGCCAATTTTAAGTTGGTTTGATTTGATGAGTGATGAATTTGGGGGCTCATCACAGCATTCAACGTTCCTCCACTCATTGACATTGTATAGTTCTGGAGTGAGTTTTGATGAGCAAGGCTGCAGTTTACAGATGTGTTTGCAGAGTGGCAGATTTGCTCTGCCGACTTGCCATATGCTTTATTACGTTCCTCACTAAGCTACACTCCCAGGACTAATCCATGAAATGTTTGTATTTTAGGATTGACTGTATTATATTCGGTTCATTGAGATATGAATAGAAAAACCGATGTGAAACTGTATGAACTTTCTTACAAAAGTTTGCACATCGGTTTTTCGATTCATATCTCAATGAACTGAAAAAATACACAGTCAATGCTTATAATTAAATTTCGAAAACGAAAACATAATAGTTTAACCAAAAACAGTTGTTTATATCAAAGTAGACAAAAATGACGAGACTGATAAACATTCCAGGTGTAGAAATACAAACTGTGGTGTGACATGAATCAGGTGATTGTTTAACTTATGCACATAACTTGACACGCCCACAAAGTCAGTAGCCAATCAACAGAGAGTAGGATAAAAACAAAGTTCATAGGACCTGTCAATCAAGGCAAGAGGCGAGAAGAACTGCAACAGTCAGACTGTAACGCGCCTGAACAAATATGTCCGGGAGAAGGCGGCTGTTTCAGATGACATGGTCAGTTACCGCCAGATTCGAACATTAGTTCCCTGAGACAGGAATACCCAATTGGAAAAATGCTAGTTACAAATGAAACCTGAAGACATGACAGTTGTGGAACCGAGGCGAGCGGGACAAAAATCAAAAAATCAAAAGCAGAACAAAGGATATTCAACACACATTATTACAAACGAAAAAGAAAACTACTTTAGGTTGATTACATTTATTACAGTCAGTAATATTTCACATCAGGTTAAATGGCATTATATTACAAAAGATAATATTGTTAAGAGTTCTCCTTTGTTTGACACAGACAAGCAGTAATGTCAATACAAACACGGTTCCTACAGGGTCCAAATATGAATATAACATTCCACACTAAAATAGAATTCCGTCGTAGCATTCAAATGTCCTTTTTTTTTGCACATATTCAGGTGTCCCATTTAAAGGTCCGTGACGAATGTCCGAGTTAGGGATCGCAAGTAGGAGTAATCGCACTAACACAAAAACCTTTTTCCTGGCCAGGTCTCACGACAGTGAAAGATCAACTGTGTCTTAAAACTGCCATGACATGGCTTTATATAATAAAGTCAGAGACAAAACGCATGCTTTTCACATGTCAAAAATGACCCATTCCAGTATTAAGGATGACATCTATCCCTACCAAAATACATCCCAAAAGTAATGATAACAGAGCACATGATGTGACAGCGAGCAAGCCTACACGCTTGCTGTTTCATTCCTTCTCGGCCTTCGGTCTCAAAGGGTTGTTTGGACAAGGAATATGCAATAACATGTGACCAATTCAGCCAATTAGAATGCAGGAATTTCAATGAACACAAAGAAAATTTAATTATTCAAACGTGCGCCCGATTATATTGTTCAACTTATCAAGCATTAACTACTCCTTATAAACCTATTCATTGGGATCGCTATTAAGTATGAGACTTCTTTCTATAGGCATTAAAACCTATTGTGAGGTTTTACTTTCGAGTCCAGTAAATCTCATAATCCCAGGGATTTTATAGGATATTCAAGTCATATTTACTATATAATGTGTTATAATATCCCAGGGATTTTATATGATGTCCTGGGTATTTTATTAATATAACTTCCGTTCAGATTCAAACATGTAATGAAATGTAAAATCAAATGACAAATGTTTTCTTTATATTCCCGAAGATCGAACTCGCAACCTTCATATCTGTAGCCCACTGAGTGTACCACGAGGCTACAGAGGTGTTGATAAGCCAAACTGTTTTTTAGAATGTCCTCTTCAAGATCCGTACGCCAGCAACAGATATTTTACAAGCGTTTCCTAAGGTTCATGGAAAGTATGTTCGAAACATAAAAATGTTGATAAATGTTGTTTTAAGTTTCATTTTTCGGTTTATAAGTATGGAAAAACACTTTCCCTCGGTTTTGGTAGACAAAGCATGCCCTGGGGGTTGGGGAAAAACCGCAGGGGCTTTGCCCCCTTGGTTTTTCCCTCTCCCTAGGGCATCCTCTGTCTACCAAAACCTCATAAGCGTGTTTTCTCCAATACTTAATGCATTCACTGCTTACTTTTGATGAAACTGTGACTGGTCCAGCTGATGAAAAGAAAAAGGTTGTTCCATTCCTGAAGCAGGACCCCCAATCATCAGCTGCCACATCATACCGGAAGTGGTGACGTCACGGAACTGTCATATCACTGTTTGTCACCAAACACATCTGCTGCTAAATTGGTGCCCAGTATTTTGTTGTAATTTCTGTTCCTGTGGTCTTCAACTTAACCTTCAACCTCCTCCGGGTGGTGTCTGGTTTGACATTATTGAATGAATATTGAATTATATTTTGAATTGCTAAGGTGTCGCGGTCCTTCGCGACTCTCATTCTATATTTCATTGTCGGTGTGGGGCCTACCTTTAGAATACAGTACCACAAACTTTTCAAACACGTGACAATACCCTCCCAGTGATCTATCATCTCTACGCGCAATGTCATTGAATACGCCCACTGGTGTTGAGAGTTTTGAATATTTGTTAAGTAAATATAGCCCGCGGCGGCACATTTTATAGCAAGCGCTAGTTTACGAAAGCACTTTTTTTCATATATATATTTTTTGTTTCATTTTGCTCGCAATTCAAGTGGCTAAAAGTGGTTATAAGTGGTTATTAATGGGAGCTGATATACATATATTATTTATTTTGTTCATTAATATGCCTTATTATGCACAAGAGTGCAGTTTATGAGGGATATTATATTGGCACTGAACACGTCCAAATATCCCAAGTGTTAGGGTAGGTTACCCTGAACTCTATCCTTAGCCCTGGGATCCACTTTACGATCATTAGGGTCAGGTACTTGTTTAGTGGCTATTAGATTACACAAACTCTATCCTCAGCCCTTGGATCCCATTACGATCAATCACCCCTTTACGATCATTAGGGTGAGGTACCCCTTTAACGGCTATTATAGATCATATAGCCGCTCATAATATTTTTAACATAAAAAAGTTGAGTAAAAAGGATGAAATGGTTTTGTGTTGAATATTTTGGCTACTGGAAACCGTCCTGGAACATTCACACAAGCCTGTTTCACTAGCTACATTTTTTATCCCCCTCCGGGCCAGAAATGGCCGAAGGGGGATTATGTCGTGGCGCAGTCCGTCTGTCCGTCCCACAGAGGTTACTAAGCTTGTGAAATCAACTCCTCCTACAGTTTCCAGAGAATATTCCTGACACTCTACACACATGATGTTGACATGTTGATGATACGCATATCGCAGTCCCGTTTTGTTTTGACTAATTTTGACAGAGTAACTGCCCCTGTTTAACGGAGCTTCATTTGCCTTATTATGAGAGAGGGTACTAAGCTTGTGAAATCAACTCCTCCTACAGTTTCCAGAGAATATCCCTGACTGTCTACACACATGATGTCGACATGTTGATGATACGCATATCGCAGTCGAGTTTTGGTTCGACTAATTTTGACAGAGTTACTGCCCCTGTTTTACTGAGTTTCATTTGCCTAATTGTGAGAGAGGGTACTAAGCTTGTGAAATCAACTCCTCCTACACTTTCCAGAGAATATCCCTGACACTCTACACACAAGATGTCGACATGTTGATGATACGCATATGGCAGTCCCGTTTCGTTTCGAATAATTTTGACAGAGTTACTGCCCCTGTTTTACGGAGCTTCATTTGCCTTATTGTGAGAGAGGGTACTAAGCTTGTGAAATCAACTCCTCCTACAGTTTCCAGAGAATATCCCTGACACTCTACACAAAAGATGTCAACATGTTGATGATACGCATATCGCAGTCCCGTTTCATTTTGACTAATTTTGACAGAGTTACTGCCCCTGTTTTACGGAGCTTCATTTGCCATATTGTGAGAGAGGGTACTAAGCTTGTGAAATTAACTCCTCCTACAGTTTCCAGAGAATATCCCTGACACTCTACACACAAGATGTTGACATGTTGATGATACGCATATCGCAGTCCCGTTTCGTTTCGACTAATTTTGACAGAGTTACTGCCCCTGTTTTACGGAGCTTCATTTGCCATATTGTGAGAGAGGGTACTTAGCTTGTGAAATCAACTCCTCCTACACTTTCCAGAGAAAATCCCTGACACTCTACACACAAGATGTCGACATGTTGATGATACGCATATCGCAGTCCCGTTTTGTTTCGACTTATTTTGACAGAGTTACTGCCCCTGTTTTACGGAGCTATATTTGCCTTATTATGAGAGAGGGTACTAAGCTTGTGAAATCAACTCCTCCTACAGTTTCCAGAGAATTTCCCTGACACTCT